CAAACCACGTCCATAGTCAAGTTCCCATATGTCCTCTATGTGACCATAATATGTTTCCTTTCCTGTCTTGGTTGCTGCATCAAAGCGGACACCACTATTTTGGTTGGTGCTCTTCTTATCTTGGGCGATCGTGTAAAATGTATTCTCATTTATCTCGTACCCTTTGAACGTCATTACATTCAAAGATGGTAACTGGGACAGCAAGTACATGTCATATTCAATAGCGGCGTCATGCATGGCACGTGTCTGCAACCAGCCGGCGAAAGTCCCCGTTTGTTCACGTGTAATCCAGTCATCAGACTGCTCCGGGTGTTTGGAGCGTAGAAAATTCTTGTGTTCGTCCATATACGAAGCCACCAAGGCGGAATTCTGTAGAACTATGTAGTGTGCTTGAGTGAGAGAATGCCCGTCCATACATATTATTTGATCCCCTCCTAGCGTGCCTTTTCCATCCAGTCTGCCCTTATGCCCCGATTTAGGAACATCAATCGGCTTAAGGTCAGGAATAAAGTCAACACAAAACTCAATGACCTCCTCATTTTCATGGCCCTTGGAGATGCTTCCTTCTGGCCTAGCACGGTTATGAACATATTTCTTTAAGACTTCGATGAACCTCTCAAAGGGGAACATATTGTGTAGAAATACATGACCAAGAACGTTAATCTCTTTGCATAGGTGAACTAGGACGCGCGTCATGATATTGAAGAAGGATGATGGAAACACCAACTCGAAACTGACAAAACAATGCACCAAATCATTCTCTAACCTTGGTATAATTTCTGGATCGATTACCTTATGAGATATTGCATTGAGGAATGCACATAGCTTCACAATGGCTAATCGAACGTTTTCCGGTAGAAGCCCCCTCAATACAACCGGAAGTAGTTGCGTCATAATCATATGGCAGTCATGAGACTTAAGGTTCTGGAACTTTTTCTCTGTCATATTTATTATTCTCTTTATATTCGACGAGAAGCCAGACGGTACCTTCATACTGAGCAGACATTCAAAAAAGATTTCCTTCTCTTCGTTGGTAAGAGCGTAGCTGGCATGACCCTGATGTATGCCGTCTTTTCCGTGCATACATTGCTGGTCCTCCCGTGCCTCCTGTGTATCTTTTGTCTTCCCATACACACCTAAGAAGCCAAGCAGGGTCACACAAAGATTCTTCGTCAAGTGAATCACGTCGATTGCGGAGCGGACCTTTAGGTCTTTCCAATACGGCAGGTCCCAAAATATAGATTTCTTCTTCCACATGGGTGCGCGTCCGTCAGCGTCATTCAGAACAGGTTATCTGCCAAGACCCTTTCCAAAGACTACCTTCAAATCCTTGACCATATCATGTACATCAGCACCAGTACGGTGGCGAGGCTTCGTCCGGTGATCCGCCTCACCTTTGAAATTCTTGCCTTTCTTTCTTACGGGATGCCTGCTCGGAAGAAATCAACGATGTCCCAGGTACACATTCTTCCTACATTTATCCAAATATATACTATCGGTATCATCCAAGCAGTGCGTGCATGCGCGGTATCCCTTATTTGTCTGTCCTGAAAGGTTAATGAGAGCAGGCCAATGTTGATGGTCACGAACAGCAACACCTTTATGTCAAATTCTTCCCCATGTGCTCATCCCACACACGTACACTTGTTTCATTCCATAGCTGTAAGAGTTCTTTAACTAATGGCCTGAGGTACACATCAATGTCGTTGCCGGGTTGCTTAAGGCCTTGGATGAGCACTGGCATCATAATGAACTTTCGCTTCATGCACAACCAAGGAGGAAGGTTATACATACATAGAGTCATAGGCCAGGTGCTATGGTTGCTACTCTGCTTCGCAAAAGGATTAATGCCATCTGCGCTTAGACCAAACCATACGTTCCTTGCGTCACCTGCAAACTCCTTCCTGTACTTTCTCTCGATTTTTCTTCACTGCGACCCGTCAGCGGGTACTCTCAACTTTCCGTATTTCTTATGGTATTCTCTGTGCCACACATAGCCTTGGCATGCTCTTTGTTTAGGAACAACCATTTCAACCGTGGTATTATAGGAGCATACAACATCACCTTGGCAAGAATCTTCTTCCTGGGGCGCTCGCCCTCGACATCACTAGGGTCATCGCGACTGATCTTATAGCGCAATGCATCGCATACTGGGCACGCGTTCAAATCCGCGTACTCACCGCGGTAAAGGATGTAGTCATTAGGGCATGCATGTATCTTCTACACCTCTAACCCTAGAGGGCAGACAACCTTCTTTGCTTCATACGTACTCTCGGGCAATTCGTTGTCCTTTGGAAGCATCTTCTTTAACTTTACCAGCAACTTTCCAAATGCCTTGTTAGATACACCATTATCTGCCTTCCATTACAATAATTTCAGTGTGGTGCCCAGCTTTTTATTGTCAGTTTCGCAATTCGGGCACAACAATTTCTTGTGATTCCTCTAACATGCGCTGCAACTTCTTCTTCTCCTTTGCACTTGCACAGTTCTCTCTGCATCAGCAATGGCCCAACCTAGATCATCAGTTGGCTCATCTGATGCCTCTTGTTCAGCTTCTTCCGGCATTGCCGGCTCAACTTCTCCCCCATTGTTGTATCATCGTATTCAAGGAACCCATGGCCAAGATAGCTATCGTCGTCCTCTTCTTCTTCATTTTCTTCCATCATAACCCCTCTTTCTCTGTGCTTGGTCCAAACAATATAGTGGGGCATGAAACCGGACTCAAACAGGTGTATGTGAATGGTTCTTGCGTTAGAATAATTGTGATCATTCTTACAGCCAACACATGGACAAGGCATAAAACCATCCACCCGCTTGTTTGCCTGAGCCGTAATCAGAAAAGTATGCACACCCTCAACGAACTGGAGAGAGCATCGATCATCGTACATCCATTCCCGGCTCATCTTCATTACACAACACCGAATAGACCAAATTAATACAAGTTCATACATAAAGTTCATACAATACTTATTCTCATAAAGCAAACATATAAATAGCTCTCTAGCTAAAGAATTTAAATGCAACAACAAATGCGATCAAGATCGCAACTAAGGTAACAATTGATCCAACAACACAATGATACCAAGCCTCACTATGAATGGCATATTTCCTAATCTTTCTAATCTTCAAGTGCATTTTCTCCATCTTGATCTTGTGATCATCGACAACATCAGCAACATGCAACTCCAATTCCATCTTCTTCCCCTAAATTCTTTTTAATTTTTCTTTCAAATACTCATTTTCTCTTTCAACTAAATTTAACCTCTCGACAATAGGGTCGGTTGGAATTTCCGGTTCACATACCTCCTAGATAAAAATATCTATATCAATTTGATGGGCATAATTTGTCATAAACACGAAATGCAACAAAATAGTTATAAAATAAAATATACCACATCCGAATCATAACCCGGAAGAGGACCGACGGGGACGGATATCAAAACCATGGCATACGGGTAAGATAATTATACAAGTAACTATATATCTAAATCACACAAACATGATTCTTTTTATATAAAAAAGATAAGAACAAGAGGGCTTACCCCACAAGGTGGTGCCGGCCACAAGATGGTGCGGACGATCGACGGTGGTTAGGACGAAGACGGGAAGGCACTAAGTAAACCACACCTACATATGCAAACTAAGAGTTATTTTAAGCTCAAATTGCATATAAATCAAATAAACTACCACATATAATTCCTCCCAAATTACTAAAACCCACAAATTAATGACTATATAAAGCATTGCAAAAGCTAATCTAGCAACGAGAGATGAAAGGACAAAGTTGCTTACCTTTGTGATCACTTGAATGGATGGGGGCCTTCAAATCTTGACAAAATTTGGGCAAAATGTGAGATGAGCTCAAGGTAGAGGGGGAAGAACAGAGAGGAAGGAAAAATGGGAAAAACAAAGAGAGCTCGCTCGCGGTGGACGAAGGGTTTATATAGGACGACCTTTAGCACCGGTTCGTGCCACGAACCGATACTAAAGATGTTGAAGGAGCCCCAGACTGACAACATACTGTCAGCACTCTCTTTAGTACCGGCTCGTGGCACGAACCGATGCTAAAGATTCGCCATGAACCGGTACTAATGGTAGTGGCACAGCTAGCCGTTGAAACCAGCACTAATGATCATATTAGTGCCGGCTCAATTACAAACCGGGACTAATGAGCTGAACATTTGACCCTTTTTCTACTAGTGGTGATGCCCTTTGGTTGGCCAGGCGGATGTACAGACTCCCACAAAGCTCCCCACGTTTGTTTCCAATTTGCGAAAGAAATCGTGTTCGGACCGTTCCGTGGACCGATACAAGACCGTTTTGAATAGCTTCCTCGATTCGGATAGCGCAGTCTGAATGGTTGCGGGAGGTTTGCAGGTCCCGCATTGGAGATGCCCTTAGTCCCTCGTTTCATAATTTTCTTCATGTTTTGAAGTAAAACCACGACAAAAATAATTATGAAACGAAAGGAGTAAGTGTTAAGAAAAGAAATGGCAGGAAAGTACTCCCTCCGTTTCAAAAAGATGACTCTACTTTGTACTAATTTTAGTACAAAGTTAATATAAAGTTGGGTCATCTATTTTGGGACGGAGGGAGTAGTATTCCGTTCGAAAATAATTGTGAGAGAAATGGAGTCTCTGCACCACACCGACCGTTTCAGCCGGACATATTGTTACAGTTTTGCTAAAGCATATCTAGATGTGTCATAAGTATTGCACATCTAAGTCATATGTCATTGATCTTATAATAAGATTCGTGTGAATATTTTATTTCCTTTTTTTTCTTTTTCTTTTTATCCTTAATTTACTCACTTAGATGTGCAATAACTAAAGCACATCTAAATACGCCCTAAAGACACCCATATTGTCATACCTCGAACGTACATGCATCTCTTGCCAACAATCACAAGGCCATCCACGGCACGCGCGCCCAGCTGCAAATCCAAAGCTAGCTCGTGCGCGTGTGCATGCCCTGTTACTGTCCAGGCCACTTCCTCACCAATGCCTCAGCTCGGCACCCTCGTCGCCATCACGCTACTCCTCCACCTCCACGCCGCGCCGACGGGCCTCGCGCAGGCCGCGACGGGCGCGTTCATCTACGCCGGGTGCTCGCCGTCCAAGTACGAGCGCGACACCGCCTTCGAGAGCAACCTCGGCTCCCTCCTCGCCTCCATCGCCTCCACCGCCTCCTCCGGCGCCGCCTACAACAGCTTCACCGCCGGCGGCGGCGTCGGCCAGGCGGAGGCGACCCGCACGGCCGCGTACGGCCTGTATCAGTGCCGCGGCGACCTCGGCCGCGGCGAGTGCGTGGCGTGCGTGCGGGAGGCGGTGGCGCGCCTGGGCGCCGTGTGCGCCAACTCGTACGCCGCGTCGCTGCAGGTGGACGGCTGCTACGTGCGGTACGACGCCAGCGACTTCGTCGGCCGGGCCGACAACACCGTCGCGTACCGCAAGTGCAGCTCCGGCAGCAGCGAGGACGCCGGGTCCTCAAGAGCCGCGACGCCGTGCTCAGGGAGCTGCAGGCGCGGGCCGCGACGGGGTACAAGCTGACCGGCTCCGGCACGGTGCAGGGCGTGGCGCAGTGCCTCGGCGACATCGCGGCGCCGGACTGCGCCGCGTGCCTGGCGCAGGCGGTGGTGCAGCTCAAGGGCACGTGCGGCTCCGCGCTGGCCGCCGACGTCTACCTGGAGCAGTGCTACGTCAAGTACTGGCTAAACGGACACGACTTCCGCTCTTCACAGGGTACGTATTATTTTCTTAGGAATACGTCTGCGCGGTACAATGCCAACTATGTTAAGCATCGCCGTAGGAGTAAAACCATCTTCTTCTTCTCTTTTCTTTTTGCGGGGGAGGAGTAAAACCATCTTCAGCTTCAACAGATCACAACAAGTCCTCACTTTCCTTGACAAGTTATTTTTAGCCAAAAAAACGATTTTCTTCAGAAGTCCTAACGTTTAACATTGTTTTATCAATGAAGTTTGAGACAAACACATGAATTCAAATCTGTGAGATTAGACAACGGTGAAAAATGTATAGAGAACTTGCATACCGTGGCCCCACCGGATGCGCGAATTAGACGTCAATTGCAACTGGAGACCACTATATAGAACTATTATTAGTGATGATCAGTCAAAAGGTGATATGGAGGGCATGGGGCAATGGCAACGAGCATATATTCCGAACTGGTAAACTTCCAATCAAAAGTTGATAAAGAGGAGGACAAGCGGAATATATTCCAAACTAGCGTTTTGTTAGATGTGAGAGGTAATGGTGGGGTTCGAAACACGATTAGATGTGATTACTGGTATAAACATGGTTGTGGGGGGTGACTTTCATATCATGGCGCTTTACACACACCGACGTGTTCCGTACAAATTTACTGATCATATGATAGAAGCTACGCCTACTGATTATATTCCTTGTGAACAAAGGAGACACTTTTCTGTGAGTGCTGCACTTGTTTCGAATGGACTTATTAATCTGCTTGGCTTTGGTGACAGACTATTCGGGAGACGAATTTGGGAGGACCGTGGCTATAATAATTGGCATCTTGGCCGGGCTAGCACTCCTGGTGGTGTTCATCTCTTTCCTCAGCAAAGCATGTAAGTCCTCTAGATTATGTCAGCCCAAACTTCAGTTTATTTATTTAATTTTACCAAACTTTTAAACCATTTTTCCAATGCAATGCAGGCTAGAAGCCCACACGGCCCAGGTTACCTCCAGCTACAGCATTAGAGACTAGAGGACAGGACGACATGGCATCAGGAGTCCAAGGAAAAACCCAGCAAAAGGACTCCTACTGGCTGGACACTCGCACTTGCATAGGTCGACTGATCTTCAAGTTGTCTCAGAAGTATCGCCTCGGTTTTTCCTACAGTATTTTACTTTGAGGGGGAAAACTGCTCTTGAATAATTAAGACAAGAAAGAAAGGCCTGCTTGTGAACGCATTACTTGATTGTTCATCATACCACACACCATGCAGGATTAATACTAGTACGTACAATATACATCACACAGCTAAAGCAACGGACATGGCCACATTCTTATATAGTCGGCCTCAAGGTTATTTAGATGATACACTACTAATAATAGCCCCATACAATACTACATATTCACATAAGCCGACGACAAGTAACATACTAGCATGCACCTCAGCCGGTTGGTTGATCAAGCGCTGTACCCTTGGATCAAGCTGCTCCATCTCGCGGAGTTCTGAACGCCGCAAGCCCCGATGCTTGCTTCCTTCATCGTTGTGCCAGAAATCCCATTGTTGCATATATTTGCGAAAGCTCGCATGTGCTTCATACCGTACTGAGTGAGCGATCCGCAATGAGACTCAAAGATCCGCACCTGAAGAAGGCGCTCAAGATTCAAAACATTAGAAGGACTGAGCTGAAACTATGCAGGTGTACACAACACAAGAGTCTCCTACTCACCATCCTCTTCAGGCAATCCCAGTCGTCCACTAGAGGCTTCCCAGAAGGTCTGACAGCTTGAAGCACCGAAGGTCCATTCTCGTAGCCAAATAGAAGCTTCCCAATAAAATCGATGCTGCTGTCAAGATGCTTCCTGTGGGTGACTGTCTCACTGATCTCCCTCAGAACGTTCGTCTTCTCTTTCGACTTTTCATGTAGCAGCTCATACTGAAACCAAACCAAGAACCTTCAGCTAACATAGGCATAAGGCAGAGGCCAATACTAAACACAAATACTAATCAGTCGCAGACACAGTGCTGTAGGTTCCGATGAAAGTAACTCGGTAGCAAGTACAACTAAAATGGAGAATTTCCTGTGAACAAGAAATAGCAACTGATATATCAAGGGAAAATGCAACAAAAAGCTCTAAATCAATAGACAGTAGACTGCTCAGTTCAGGTAAATCATCCTTCTGAAACAGAAGTCTATTACTGCAATTAGTGTTGAAGAGGTTAGCAAACCAACTGAAAGACTACATAACACTAAAACATACCCTCCTCCACAAGAAAAGAAGATCTGCGTCTCTTTGGTTGATTGCAGCCTTTGGGGCTTGCAAAAATAGCTTGTTTGTAATGTTGGTGTTTGCAGGATTGAAACCTTGATAAAGGTAAAGCTTCTCATCCTTGAAGGTCTTGTCGCCATACTCCATAACATGCGAACCGGCACTATATCTGTTCATGTCTGAGGTTCGCTTCTTTACCTGCACATGAAACTTTCAGTACCAGGATCTTTACAATTACAAATGAAAATGGTAAAAAGGCAAATAAATCCGCACCACTTCGTACTGCTTCTTGATTGTCTCCTCCTTCAGATTATTAGTCTCACTGTGAAATAGCATGCAGATAACCAAACACGTCATTAAGTGAATGCTTAATATACAAACAGATTCTTCAGCAAGCTTGTGTAATCCGGATTTGCAGGTTCTATGTCATGTACTTAGGAACTAAAGGAAGGAATGGACATGACTTGTTACAAAATCCTCCTTGAGGTACTCCCTCCGTCCGAGAATACTTGTCATAGAAATGGATACAAATGGATGTATCTAGAACTAAAATACATCTAGATACATCCATTCCTCGGACAAGTATTTCCGGACGGAGGGAGTACTACGCAGTGCAAAGTAATGCAACCAAATATAACTCATCAGCTGCTGGTCATTGTAACCTATTCTGCTAAACACTGGTACTCTGTAAATTAATCCTATCATTGTGAATTTAGGTTACAAGTTACATACCTGTCTTCCATCCAAGAAATACTGTAGAGATCACCTAAGCAGGTAATATATTCAGAAGGAGGCGATGGTTCCATTCCTGGGCAGTATGTACCCCAGCTGCTTTCTTCTGCATTTGATGCTGTTGTGACATAAATATTGAGGTCTGCAGGCATCAAACCCTCAAAAATACTGCCACTTTCACAAGCTTCCACATATATAACCTGCCAATTATAGCACTGATTTCGGTCAAACAGGAAACGGTTAGCACAAACAAGTAACCATGGGCAGCCTTACCATTTTTGCATAGGTATTGGATGCATGTTTTTCTTGCAAGACCTTGATAAAATCAGCAGCATACAGATATGGCAGGTTGGGCATACCTGAAACTTGCAAAGGTCAATACACAAGATGAACAAAACTAACTAATACAACAAAGCAGCGGATACAACTTCCACACACCAAGGACTCCAGGACCCCCGTGATCTGAGTAGTAGATAAATATATGGTCATTTGGTTTGCTGTCTATGACCTTCTTACTCCCTCCAGTGACCGCAGTTTTATTGCCCAAGAGAACTGCATAGAAGTTCTTAGCAGTAACTGCCTCTCCAGTGTAGTCCTGAAATTATAATGATGCTATCTTCATCAAACTTGAGAGAAGGGCAATAGATATCTTCATCAAACTTGAGAGAAGGGCAATAGATATGTTCTGTACTTCTACTATACACAATTATTGAGCCATATGAAGCTCGAAAAGAACATACCGATATTGAACTACTTTTTTGTGTCTTGATGCAGTGATAGTTAAATTTATGTAGAGCAGTCGTACAAGTACACCGAAACACACACAGCCCCCACAACCAGGGGTATAGCCAGGCCCCAGGCTGCCCAGGCCGCGGCCTGGGGCGTGGCGGTCGAATCCTTAGTATACTGTAGCTACTGCAGCTCTAAGGGCTGGCCCAGGGCATAGGCTGAGGCGCTGAGGCTGGCTAAGCAACTGCCCAAAACACATGCCATTCACCTAAGCACCGCGCTCCACTGAAAGTGTGGCCTGAAGACCGTCTCCCTGGCTTAGACCACAATCCCATCACTGCACGGATAGTGCCAAACAACATTGCAGTGTCGAGTCTAACTCCGTCGAAGACGGCAGCATTCCGCTGTTTCCAAATCCAGCATAACTTGAGCATTATCAATGAAGATAAGTCTTTCGTTAGCGATAGTGGAGTGGAACCAGCTGATTATTGCCACCAGCACACAAGCAATAGAGAACTCCATAGCGCATAGTGATAATATAAGATAGCAGCAGGACGCAACTTGCTGCGCTTTTCCCCTTTGAAACTCTATTTACAAATCATAGGACTACACAAATGTTTGATTCAAAATGACCTACGTTAGGATGATCAGTTTGTAGGCAGGATGTCGCAGTAAAGTACTTCAGATTCGAATGAGCAAGGAGGTAGTGTTGAGTAGGTAATAATCAAGGCAACTCAAATCATATATCTTGGTAATAAAAATCATTAAATTACTTGGAAATAAAGGTAAATATTGAGTTGAAGTAAAATACGTGCTGTAAAAGGTACTAATTGACAAAGCCAAACAACTTAATTAGCGAAACCAATAGACTACAAGGGAATAACCTACATATTGAAGTATTTGCCTAACAACACGCCTGTTTATTCCCCAAGAATATATTAGTGATTCCCATCAGGATTCAGGAGACAAAAATAATGGTAAGACCGTCATCATGTAAGTAGCTAATAGCTAGAACACAAAATAAGCTACTCGCAATGTTGAGGCTGAGTTATATGGACGCACACAACAGCATACATTAGCCCACATGCAATGCTATTTTGGAGATTTCTACATTGCAATTTTAAATTTCTCCTAGATATAAGCCTATTAGAGAATCCAATATGGACTACATACGGAGCAAAACAAGTGAATCTACACTCTAAAATATGTCTATATACATCCGTATGTAGTTTGTATTGAAATCTCTAAAAGGGCTTATATTTAGAAACGGAGGGATTACTTAATTTAATAATTTTGAATATACTACGTGATTAAATTTAATATAATATCATACAAACTAGCTCATGGAAATGCGTTGGTTGATGACTAGTGATCCTAATGTTCAACTCCAAGTTAAGCTACCAAGTCATACCTTTGGAACGCCAGCATATACATCTTCGCCCTCTGGGTGGTTGATGATAACCCCTGGCCTCGGGTTGAGAGGGTTGTTGGCAATGTCATCATACATAAAAACCACGATGTTCTCCTCCTTTACGCCCCCTTTTCTCAATATCTGGTAGGCATGGCATATATCGGCCTGCAACAGCAACACACCACGAATAAATCAAGAGTTCAACAAATGGTCCAGGAAACATAGCTGCTTGCTGGTATCTCCTAGTTTCAAACCAAAGCAAGATGTAAGCACACATTATTGTATCCACAGGCAAAATGTTTCAATCACACTTTCAGGGCTGCACCAAAATTCCAGTGTGCACTAGTGATCTGATCAAAAGTGCAAGTATCCACATAATGAATATCTAGCTCTTATTTCTTTTGTCATCTAAATTCTGTCCAGCATCACCATTATTTTTCAGTGGCAAAATTTATCTCGTTTCTACCCAAACACTAAAAATCAGAAACCCTTTTCCCATTATGAATGAAGCTGCTACCAATACTGAATCTCTCCTGAAAACAGCTAGCAGTAGTATACAAGATCAAGAGAAGAAACAGAACAAAACATCACTGTCTGGAGCACAGACAGCTGCAGTTGGGGATAGCAGGATACTATTTGGAGATTCTTGTGATTCTTAAGTAGTAGTTATCTAGGAAAACCTTGGAGTTGTCAAGTTCTGCACCTGCCGCCGAGTACCAACAACTGTGTTGATTTCACAACTTGGGGAAAAAATAGAGTTAAGCTTTGAGCTTCCGGATCACCGATCAACCCTGACCCCCAAAATTGAGATTGAACGTGCAAAACTCCAAATCTGCGAACTCCAACATCTCAACACGGATAATATCGGCAATATTCAGAACTGCACACTGATTGCCGCAAAAGAACTTCCACAAACCGCCAATCCTTCAGCTGTCACGCTCATCTCGTTTCCAGCCAAATTGAACTACGTACGCAACAACAACGCGCGCAAACGCACGCATCACCACGCCGATGATCTCCGACTGCGGTCAGCTGCTCACCTGGTGCCTGTAGTTTCCGTAGCCGGAGGATCCGGCGACGAGCACCGCCCACCTCGTCCCGACGCCGTCCTCCTCCTCGGAACTCTCGTCGCCCGTGGCGGGCTCCTCCTCCCCCGGCATCCGGATCACCGGGTCCCACTTCCCCTTCGAGGCGTCGGCCCCCGCCCGCGCCCTGGCCGCCGCACACAGCAGCAGGAGCAACGCGAAGCACCACCGCGGCGCCATCCGTCTGCGCAGGCGAGGTCGCAGTAGCACTACTGCCTAAGAGCACCGCGCGGGGGAGCCGGAACGTACGGGCGAGAAGAGCGGCGCAGGGTGCGGGGTAAAGTAGGCGCCAGCGCCGCCATGCAGGGAGGTCGAGCAGCCTGGAGAGCGGACGCGTGTGGCGCGAGGTGCCAGGTGGTGGTGCGGCTCGTCGGCTTTCGGCGGCGGCGTCGTCTCCCTACTACTCCCCCCTGGTCAACAAGCCCAAGCGAAACAATGGACCAGAGCCCAACTTAATCTCAAAACATGGGCCGGCCCGGCCCAATAAGCAAGGCTTCGTGATGGACCGATGAGAAGAGAAGGGGGCAGACGGAGTCGTTACATGCTATACGCTTTCTAAATGAGCAAAACGTAAACAGGGAGTGCGTGACGGGAGTCCACGACGCATCGGCTCGTCGGGTCGCTGGAGTGGCCGTGGGAAGGTTCCGGAACCCTTGAGCGAGCTCGCTCGGCCCGGCCTGCTGCTCCGCCTTAATCCCCATCTAACCCCAGGATTTGTCCTCCTCCACCCAGCCGCCAAACCTTCTCGAAGCTTCCCCACCCCGCCCCCGCCCCGATCCGATCGGACCGCCCGCCCGCCATGGCCGACGAGGCGAAGGCCAAAGGTAATGCGGCCTTCTCGGCAGGCCGCTTCGAGGAGGCGGCGGGGCACTTCTCCGACGCCATCGCGCTCGCCCCCGCCAACCACGTTCTCTACTCCAACCGCTCGGCGGCGCTCGCCTCGATCCACCGCTACTCCGACGCGCTCGCCGACGCCGAGAAGACCGTCGAGCTCAAGCCCGACTGGGCCAAGGGCTACTCGCGCCTCGGCGCCGCCCACCTCGGCCTCGGCGACGCCGCCAGCGCCGCCGCCGCCTACGAGAAGGGCCTCGCCCTCGATCCCAGCAACGAGGGCCTCAAGGCCGGCCTCGCTGACGCCAAGAAGGCTGCCGGCGCCCCGCCGCGCCGCGCGCCGTCTGGCGGCGCCGACGCCATCGGCCAGATGTTCCAGGGCCCCGAGCTCTGGACCAAGATCGCCTCCGACCCCGCTACGCGCGCCTATCTCGACCAGCCCGACTTCATGCAGATGCTGCGGGAGGTGCAGCGGAATCCCAGCAGCCTCAACACGTACCTGTCCGACCCGCGCATGATGCAGGTGCTCAGCCTCATGCTTAACATCAAGATCCAGACGCCCCAGGACTCCGATTTTTCGCAGTCTTCCTCGCCGTCGCAGCCGCCACCGCAGCAGCAGAAGCAACAGCCTGAGACAAAGGCGAGGGAGATGGAGCCTGAGCCACAACCGGAGCCGATGGAGGTGTCTGATGAGGAGAAGGAGCGGAAGGAGAGGAAAGCTGCTGCTCTGAAGGAGAAGGAGGCAGGGAATGCATCCTACAAGAAGAAGGACTTTGAGACGGCGATCCAGCATTACACAAAGGCCTTGGAACTTGATGACGAGGACATCTCCTACCTCACTAACCGAGCAGCGGTGTACATCGAAATGGGCAAGGTGAGGTTTATTATTGTACAGATTCCATGCCTTAAAGTGAAGGATCTGATCTTCAGTTCACCCCTACTGTTTGTATATGATTGGTTGCTGCACTGTAAGCATTGGTAGTACTAGTAGTTTTGACTATCGGGCAATTAGGTCATGCTACGTGCTGCATATATATAGTGACTAGCAGTTGAGAGGATTAGCGGTTTGGTTGATGTGCTAAACTGATGAACATCAAGGTAAGATGGTCTGGGTTCTAGGTACAAGAGGTCTTGGGGACTAATAGGACAACTGAAAGAGGCCTAAAACTAACCATAAGTTATTGATACTGTTAGTGTTAGGAAAATAATGTGAATTGAATTTTGTCTGCTTGGTCTCTCCTGGGTTGCGAATAATTGACGGTCTGCAGTTCTTTTTGACCGACGCTTTGCTAATTACTTCTATTGCAATTGCAATTTACAACCTTAGATATCTCAGAAGTGCACCGCTTGATACTGTCTTGTTAACCAAGCGAAGCTGCCAAGTCTTACCACACTTTTCTTGCCACGCTTGATACTGTCTTGTTAAGCAAGCGAAGCTGCTAAGTCTTCCCACACTTTTCTTGCCACACTTCTAGCAAAGTCTGTGAAGAATATGAGGGCCTGTTTTGTTAAAATTATTCACCACAACCATGTTTAGGCAAAGTGTGGCTTGCAGAATGAGCACCACACTTGTGGCAACATGTAACGGAGAATCTGAGTCTACGACTTTTGGATCATGTGTATAATTAAGGGTGTAAAGCCGCAACTGTGGCGTGCCTAACCTAGAGCAACTATAGCAGATGCGCTATATTCCTGTCCCGCAGAATCGTTTTACGGTTCCCCCTAAATTTTTTTTGTGTGAACTGATTCACCCCGGGGGAACAGATCCGCTATCTCTGCAAATTTAAAAACATAGATCATACATATTTCCCGCTACGAAGTTCATCACAACACACCGAAGTTCATGTATGGGTAAACTTAGATCTAATAGATAGGGAGGCGGTGCTCAGTTGTCGACGCCGAGGAAGAACGCCTCTGCCGACCTACGGCAAGCGTAGGCGTAGGCGTGCTCCTCCTTTGCCGCGGGAGCCTATTAGCGGCCCCTTCTTCTCTGGCCTTGACAATGTGCTTCACGGCGAGAGCTCCGCATCCGCCTTGCAGCATGACACGGTGTGCGGCTAGAGCTCTTTGTGGAGGCGATGGAAGTTGACCCAAGGGGACCGCTCGTCTTTGTGGGAGAGCCAGCCGCACTTGCTTGGACCGCCAGGTTTTGACGGGTGGCTAGCTGGAGCGTCTTTGCGTGAGATAGTGTGCAGCGGCGACCCGCCAAGGCCACGGCCACAACACCTGCATGCGGATCCTCCCATCGCTCGCCAAGAAAAAAGATCTATGTCGGGTGGATTTGCTCGCTTTAGATAGTAAGGGAGGCGGTGGATTGCGGCGGAGGAAATGCGAGGCCTGAACCCTAAAACGCTGGTGTCAACTAGATATAGAGGCGGAAGGATTGTTTCGCGGGCCACTTGTATAATTTTTACGGGCCAGGCTAGATATAACGGATCTATTTGGGCCGCAAAAAACGCAAATACGCTATGTCGGCCGGAATTATACGGGTCGATGAGGTTATAGCGCATCTGCTAGAGTTGCTCTTACTCTAGGAACCAAATAGATCCGGTGGATAGAGCGTTTTTGCGTGTTTTGTGGCCTGAACAGGTCCGCTATATTTAGCCCTGCCCGTAAAAATTATACGAGTGGCCTGCAAAATTGCACTTCGGCCGCTATATCTACCAGACGACATGCATTTTAGGGCTCCCGTCTTGCATTTCCTCCTTCGCTAGCCGCTGCCTACCTCTCTCTCTCGGGAGAGCGATTCCACCCGGACCCGGTACAAAGCTTTTTTCCAGCGAGTGATAGGGGGATCCGCAGGCGTGGTGGTTGTGGCGGGTCGCCGCCGTGCAAGATCTTCCACGACGACGTGGAGGCCGGCAGCTCCTTCCTTCCCCTGTCGAGGCTTGGCAGTTGCAGCAAGCCACTTGGGCCCACTTGAACCGCCTCCACGAGGAGCTCTACCCACACACTGATGCGGAGAAGGGGCCGCTGACAGGCTCGCCGCAGTGAAGGAGGAGCACGCCCATGCTTGCCGCCAGTCGGCGGAGGCGTTCTCTTCTTCCTCGGTGTCAACCACCGAGCCACCGCCGCTCCTGCAGCTAGATCTCGTTTTATCTATGTATATGATGAATTCCTGTGTGATGAACTTTGTAGCGGGAACTATGTTTTTAAATTTGCAGTAAGCTTTTGTGGGATCTGTTCTGCCGGGGCGCATCACTTCCCGCAAAAATGCTTTAGGGGGAATGGTAAAACGATTTTGCAGCAGGAATACAGCGCATCTGCTAGAGTAGCTCTTACAGGTAGCCCTGTACTAATTTACAGACTGCTATATTGGCTTAGGAGATCACCGACCCCTGCGTTGGAGCTGTGCATGTAATACAAATTAACATTATACAGGTGCCATACTAATAGAAATGTTCTGTTTCCATTTTGATTTGAATATAATGACACACCCTTGCGCTTTGAATTTGGGTAGATAAGGAGGTGTGGCATGCCACAATTATGGCAGCAAACCATACAGTTGCCACATCTTTTGCAGTTTATGGCTATTGTGTATCCATAAAGGTTTCAGAGTGAACACCAAATATAGATATGACCCTAGAGGGAAAAGCTGCATTTTCTTAATATCAATCCGTGAAGGTTTTCTACAATATACTTATGGAAAAGATTCTTAGAAGCGCCTGTGTGCTCTTGGATGTGTGTTGCCTTAACATGCCACTTTTGTTTACTTCGAGTAAGAAGAGTGTAGTGTTATGATTACAGATTTGCGACCGTCCATAGAGCTGATTACTGTCCCTCTCCTTATTTTCTGCAACTAAATATATCCTGGTAATATATGTTATTTCTTGTTTATTGTAGTCTTATCATTTCCTTTCTGCAGTACGATGAGTGCATTGAGGACTGTGATAAGGCTGTGGAGAGGGGAAGAGAACTTCGTGCTGATTTCAAGATGGTTGCAAGGGCACTAACAAGAAAAGGAACTGCTCTGGCCAAACTTGCTAAGAACTCGAAGGACTATGATATTGCCATTGAGACTTTCCAGAAGGCTCTAACTGAGCATCGGAATCCAGACACTCTTAAAAGGTTAAATGAGGCTGAGAAGGCAAAGAAAGACTTAGAGCAACAAGAGTATTATGACCCAAAGTTAGCTGATGAGGAGAGGGAGAAAGGTAAGAGTGGCATTGCGTTGTCATCATTAGTCTTCCACACTCCTTTTATCTTCTTCTGGTAGCATCTGTTTGTTGCAGATTTATCTTCAGTGTTGCTTTTTATGCTCGTGGCAGTCTTGCTTATCTGATGGTTTTGTAGGTAATGAGACGTTCAAGCAGCAGAAGTATCCAGAAGCAATAAAGCATTACAATGAGGCTATCAGGAGGAACCCGAAGGATGCTAGGGTAAACTTTTTTAGTCCCTGTTGGTTATTTTTCTTTGAAGTAGCTTAAGTATATATGTGACGGAAAAGTTTGTTTCATTGTTCCAATATATGGAACCTCTGGGACAATGTGATGATAGAAAAATCTTGGTGGTTGCAAGTTTTGCAACTCTACAACATATGGAACTCAGCAGATTGTAGACCACTGAAATATGTATGTTTGCTTTAAAGTGTCCTGTTTTTCGGAACACTTGGCACTTTGATCATATGCCTTTAACAATTTTGAAATTGCACCTGAACTCCATCCTTCAATCAACTCTCAACTGCTGCCCCCTTTTCCTTTTGTTGTCATGTATGTCTGTTTATTGCATTTGTTGACTGCAGTTGTGTATTGTCTATCATTTTACATATGTTTGTTACAGCTTTAACTGTTTTATGGTTTACCACTTCACCTACAGGTGTACAGTAATAGGGCTGCATGTTACACCAAGTTGGGAGCCATGCCTGAAGGTCTTAAAGACGCAGAGAAGTGTATTGAGCTAGACCCAACCTTCACCAAAGGGTATACAAGAAAAGGTGCAGTTCAGTTTTTCATGAAGGAATACGAAAAGGCAATGGAAACTTACCAGGCTGGGTTGAAACTTGACCCAAATAACCAGGAACTGCTTGATGGTATAAGGAGGTAATGAAGTTAGGCCATATAACCATTTAGTCCACTCACATAATCTCTTGAAAATATGCATAAACAAACTTTTAACTGCTGTTGGCTTTTGCAGGTGTGTTGAGCAGATCAACAAGGCTAACAGGGGTGACATAAGTCAGGAGGATTTGCAGGAGAAACAGGTAAGCCTCTTGATGCACTTCAGGGATTCTTTATGTTGGCTGTTCCACAAACTCAATATCGCTAACCCTTTTTGTTATTTTTGTAGAGTAAAGCTATGCAGGACCCAGAAATCCAGAACATCCTTACCGATCCCATCATGCGACAGGTATCATCGAATGTCAGTTCGTTGTGAGAGTAATGCCATTCGGTCTATTTGTTCATACAAACGACGCTGGAAATGTTTTGCAGGTGTTGATGGATTTCCAGGAGAACCCTAGGGCTGCTCAGGATCATCTGAAGGACCCTGGAGTAGCACAGAAGATCCAAAAGCTCATAAACGCTGGAATAGTCCAAACGAGATGATCAAGCAAAGCTAGAACGAAGCCAGGGGCGTTTGTATTGAGATTGTGCTCGGTTGTGTCACCATTGTACACTGCTTCTCTGCCCAGCGTGAACGAACTTCTATTCTATGCCATGGGGCTTTTCTGTTGGATTCGTGAGTACAGCCTGCCACAACGTTATTCCTGTTTACGGCTATATTATGTTATTACAGTTTTATGTGGGCAATGCCCCATATTATTAGTTGTAGCCGTTTTTGCCTTCACAGTGGACAGACAACAGTAGAATGTTATTGTATTTTATTTCTTGCTCTAGGGAAATGCTGTCAATGGAGAAAATTCATTGCCGCCTCTGGTCTGGATGATATTTTATTTTGATGCGGAGCTAAGAAGGAAACAAATGTGGATTTCTTTCCTGAAAAGGCTTCGTAACTGGCGCCAAGCACTAATTATTCCGACTGATTCCTTCTCTATTATACAATCACGAGGTTGAACTCTGCTCAAGAAGGAAGTCTGAAGCATTGGCTTTGAAACAATCAAATAAGGCCCTGTTCGATAATCGGAGCGGGGAAAATTGCAACTCCACCATTTTGAATTGTAGCTCCGCTAACTCTGCTCAGGAGTTGTGGAGCGGAGCAATACTTGCCGTAGCCAACAGTAGTTGTATTGCATAGCCTTCTCAACTCAGTCTGGCTATGCAAATGCAGTCTTAAATGCACCATTTGCCTGATGTTTGGTTGTCTGTAGTTAGTGGACAAATCCAAAAGATGGTGTTTGGTTGTAGGCAACATCTGGAGTGTGGTAACTTTTTTGGCTAGTTGGTGAGGTTATTAGCACACTTCGGCACAACCATGTAGCACACATCATAAGAAGAGCAGAGTATAAATAGAGGATCAACTATTTCAGAGTATATTTCAGATAAGCAGTACCACACTTCATAACAGTTTTACGCATAAACCATAAACATAAAACAGTTCAAAGCAGACTCGATAGTACTTAGGGAGGCCCCGGCCCTACTCCTTGGTGGCGAAGGCTTCGTCGTGCTTTCCGCACTTGTTGACGACCTCAATGTCATTGTTGTCGAAGATGATGACCTTGAGGGTGTCGGGAGGAGATTGAACGTCACCATGTAGCCGATCTTGATCTGATTAACGGCTGCGTAGGTGGCCCAACCCTGATCCAGGGTCACCCTGCCGTTCATCAGCTTCACCGTCACCTTCCAGGAGCAGCCGGTGTTGTTACTGAGCTTGAATTCCGTCGGCACCGCGACAAAGTGCTTGGTGAAGTCCAGGGGCACGGGGATGCACTCAAGCTTCGGTGCAAGGATGACCTTGCAGAAGTGAGTTGGGCCATCCTCTTGATGGTAGTGGCCGTAGTTGCGGCGCTTGTTGCTGGGGGGCTCCTCCATGCCCTCGTTGTCGCCACCCTCAGGCGTCTTCGGGTCCTCCTCGGCGGTGGGCGGCAGCACAACCTCGTCGGGTATTGGGTGAAGGGGCTGCTTGCCCTTGTTGTCAACGGCCGGGAGCACCCCCGTGCCCATCTCATTGCTCTCCTCGATCTGCACATAATTCATGGAGTCAGACACAACATCGAGTTCATGGCTTATTGAAGAGCATGTAGGTAAAATGGCATGATTGTCGCTCTTCTCCTCCTCTCCATTGCCCCTATATTTACTCACCCCGCCCACCACTACTTACCCACCCTCTCTCTTCTCTCACTGTCAACCTTCCTCCTCCCCATCGCCATGAGCTCTAGCTCCAGCCCCAACAACAACCCCTTCCCTTGGGGTATTTGTTAGGGAACATAGTATTTCAAAACAATTCCTACGATCATGCAAGATCTATCTAGGAGATGTATTGCAACGAGAGGGGAGAGTGTGTCTACGTACCCTTGTAGACCGAAAGCGGAAGCGTTTTGTAACGTGGTTGATGTAGTCAAACATGTTCACGATCCAACTGATCCAAGCACCGAACGTACGGCACCTCCGCGTTCAGCACACATTCAGCTCGATGACGTCCGTCGATCTCTTGATCCAGTTGAGGACGAGGGAGAGTTCCATCAGCACGACGGCGTGGCGACGATGATGATGAAGTTACCGGCGTAGGGCTTCGCCTAAGCACTACAACGATATGATCGAGGTGTGTAACTGTGGAGGGGGGCACCACACACGGCAAAGACAATTGATCTTGTGTGTTCTAGGGTGCCCCCTGCCCTCGTATATAAAGGGGGAGGGGAGGCTGGCCCTCCTAGGGCATGCCAGGAGAGGGGAAGCCTACTAGGACTCCAAGTCTAGTAGGTTTCCACCCAAGGAAGAGGGGGAAGGGAAGGAAAGGGGGCGCCGCCCCCTTCCCCTAGTCCAATTCGGACCCAGGGGGCGTGGCCAGCCCCTCCCGGCCCTTCCTCTCTTCCCACGAAGGCCCATGGAGGCCCATTAGTTCCCCCGGGGGGTTCTGATAACCCTCCGGCACTCCGATAATTATCTGGTATCTCTCGGAACTCATCCGGTGTCCGAATAACATCGTCCAATACATCAATCTTATGTATCGACCATTTCGAGACTCCTCGTCATGTCTGTTATCTCATTCGGTACTCTGAACAAAATTCGGTCATCAAATCACATAACTCATAATACAAATCGTCATCGAACGTTAAGCGTGCGGACCCTACGGGTTCGAGAACTATGTAGACATGACCGAGACACATCTCCGATCAATAACCAATAGCGGAACCTGGATGCTCATATTGGCTCCTACATATTCTACGAAGATCTTTGTCGGTCAAACCGCACAACAACATACGTTGTTCCCTTTGTCATCGGTATGCTACTTGCCCGAGATTCGATCGTTGGTATCATCATACCTAGTTCAATCTCGTCACCTGCAAGTCTCTTTACTCGTTCTGTAATGCATCAGCCCATGGCTAACTCATTAGACACATTGCTTGCAAGGCTCATAGTGATGTGCATTACCGAGAGGGCCCAGAGATATCCGATACACGGAGTGACAAATTCTAATCTCGATCTATGCCAACTCAACAAACACCATTAGGGACACCTGTAGAGCATCTTTATAATCACCCAGTTACGTTGTGACGTTTGATAGCACACAAGGTGTTCCTCCGGTATTCGGGAGTTGCATAATCTCATAGTCTGAGGAACATGTATAAGTCATGAAGAAAGCAATAGCAGAAAAACTAAACGATCATTATGCTAAGCTAACGGATGGGTCTTGTCCATCACATCATTCTCTAATGATGTGATCCCGTTCATCAAATGACAACACATGTCTATGGCTAGGAAACTTAACCATCTTTGATTAACGAGCTAGTCAAGTAGAGGTATACTATGGACACTCTGTTTGTCTATGTATCCACACATGTACTAAGTTTCCGGTTAATACAATTCTAGCATGAATAATAAACATTTATCATGATATAAGGAAATATAAATAACAACTTTATTATTGCCTCTAGGGCATATTTCCTTCAGTCTCCCACTTGCACTAGAGTCAATAACCTAGATTACATAGTAATGATTCTAACACCCATGGAGTCTTGGTGCTGATCATGTTTTGCTCGTGAGAGAGGCTTAGTCAACGGGTCTGCAACATTCAGATACATATGTATCTTGCAAATCTCTATGTCTCCCTCCTTGACTTGATCGCGGATGGAATTGAAGCGTCTCTTGATGTGCTTGGTTCTCTTGTGAAATCTGGATTCCTTTGCCAAGGCAATTGCACCGGTATTGTCACAAAAGATTTTCATTGGACCCGATGCATTAGGTATTACACCTAGATCGGATATGAACTCCTTCATCCAGACTCCTTCATTTGCTACTTCCGAAGCAGCTATATATGTACTCCGCTTCACACGTAGATCCCGCCACAGTGCTCTGCTTAGAACTGCACCAACTGACAGCTCCACCATTCAATAAAAATACGTATCCAGATTGTGACTTAGAGTCATCCGGATCAGTGTCGAAGCTTGCATCGACGTAACCGTTTATGATGAGCTCTTTGTCACCTCCATATACGAGAAACCTATCCTTAGTCCTTTTCAGGTATTTCAGGATGTTCTTAACCGCTGTCCAGTGATCCACTCCTGGATTACTTTGGTACCTTCCTGCTAAACTAATAGCAAGGCACACATTAGGTCGGGTACACAGCATTGCATACATGATAGAACCTATGGCTGAGGCATAGGGAATGACTTTCATGTTTTCTCTATCTTCTGCAGTGGTCGGGCATTGAGTCTGAGTCAACTTCACACCTTGTAACACGGGCAAGAACCCTTTCTTTGACTGATCCATTTTGAACTTCTTCAAAACTTTATCAAGGTATGTGCTTTGTGAAAGTCCAATTAAGCATCTTGATCTATCTCTATAGATCGTGATGCCCAATATATATGCAGCTTCACCGAGGTCTTTCATTGAAAAATTCTTATTTAAGTATCCTTTTATGCTATTCAGAAATTCAGTATCATTTCCGATCAATAATATGTCATCCACATATAATATCAGAAATGCTATAGAGCTCCCACTCACTTTCTTGTAAATACATGCTTCTCCAAAAGTCTGTATAAAACCATATGCTTTGATCACACTATCAAATCGTATAATCCAACTCCGAGAGGCTTGCACCAGTCCATAAATGGATCACTGGAGCTTGCACACTTTGTTAGCACCTTTAGGATCGACAAAACCTTCTGGATGCATCATATACAACTCTACTTTAAGATATCCATTAAGGAATGTAGTTTTGACATCCATTTGCCAAATTTCACAATCATAAAATGTGACAATTTCTAACATGATTCAAACAGACTTAAGCATCACTACATGTGAGAAGGTCTCATCATAGTCAACTCCTTAAACTTGTCAAAAACCTTTCGCAACAAGTCGAGCTTTGTAGACAGTAACATTACCGTCAGCGTCAGTCTTCTTCTTGAAGATCCATTTATTCTCTATTGCTTGTTGATCATCGAGCAAGTCAACCAAACTCCATACTTTGTTCTCATACATGGATCCCA